TGACCTCTGGACTATCATCTTGTAGCATATTCTGTATCAATTCACATAGTAAACATTAATTGGATGCCAACGGTATGCCCTGTGCATCAGAACAGATTAAGGCTCATTTCACCCTTTCATAAAAAACTCCCGCTCCTTTGGCGAGTACCAGCGAGTGACACATAACATCGACCTCTACACGAGAAGTTCCCATTATAAGGATATTATGGGAAACATAAAACATTCAGTACCAGAGCCTCTGAGCTATTAAAACTACTTAAATACGGCATCCGTCCTTAAGTTACCTAATTTAAAAGTAGCTGAACCTACGGAAATCATCGAGCCCACTAAAACCTACGTGAAGTCCCAGCCCCGCTCTTGTGGGTGCTTCAGGACAACGGCCTTCCTGAGGAATGCCTTACAAATTCGCTCAAAGTTGAAAACCGTGGCAAATCTCGGTTGCCAGGAGGCACCTGTCATATGACCTACCTTGCTCCGCACTCGGCCCCTATTCAAGTGCACTTTACACGGCATCCGTCCTCGAGCAGCGGCACCGCGCGGTGGACGGCCTGGCCTTGACCGCGGCCTCGGCCGTCCGGGAGCTGCCGAGCCCGAGCCCCTTCTGCGGCCCCCTGCACCTCACTTGGCTCATCTTCTCAAGGCCAGTAAGGACCGTGCCCCCTCTGTGAAGGGGTGCCTAGCGGGATTCAGTGAGTAAATACTAGGAGAGTTCTTTAGACGGCGGCAGGCACATATTAAACGTTACGATTAAGAGAGCTTCTGGATTAAGTTGTTCAAGAAAAGAAAAGGGGTGAATATGCTCCAATTTTTAACATCAAAGCGTTTGGGCATTTGTCAATACCATTCTCAAAAGGATGCTGACTCCACGAACTACGCATGCCACAAAGGAGACCCTCTTCCTGTTACGTAGAGTTATCGGGCAAAGCACAGAAATATGCGGAAACATAAATGAATAAAGATAAGCTCCATGTGTATGTATATGAGTATATATGCATGTATGGACCTAAAAGCATAGGTGTACCCATGTAAAACCTCCCCACCTCCCATTCATAACCTAGGTCAAGCGGGCTAACGGCAAGCCAACTAACTCTTCAATCACCTCTTAAACTGACATAGTTGCCTTTCAAAAAACTTTAAAAAAACATATGGAAAACAATCCATTGCACCAAACGTTAATTAAGACATGATAATGGAGCTTGCACAGGAGATCTATAAAGTTGCATTTATCCTGCCTATACCTTCTGTGGACCTCCAGATACCATCATTTGCTTCCACTTTTGTGAGGTGTTAGCTGCTCTGAAATATTTTTGACTTAGATCAGTGATTTTCTTAAACGCAGTTATAAATGTCTTGCTTTAACTGTACTTCTGCTATAAAGGTTAGGGAAACATCATGACTCTCAGAAACTAGCACTGATCCTAGAGGGACCAAAATGTACCCACAATGAAAGTAGATTCCGGGGAGGGGGAAAAAAAATTACACTTTTAAAGAATTTTAAAGAATCTTTTTAAAGAATTCATCTTAAATTTGTAGAAAAAGTAAGATGTAGGTTTTTTTTCTAAATAGTAGCAATTTAGGTCATGTGGAAAGTTTAACCAGTTATTTCAGTTCTGAAGTTTCCCTCCTACCGAAAGAGGATAAACCCTGAAAGAAGATGAATCTGTGGTTTGAACAGTTAGTCCCTTAACTCAACTTGGACTCTTCTTTCAAACTATTTCTCTTTTCTGAAACAAAGCAAAGCAAAACAAAACAAAACAAAAAAAAACTATTAAGTCCATTACCAAACAATAACTCCTCACCTGACTGCACTAACCGCGAAATATGAAGATACTTGAATAAAGTATCACAAAGAAATCCCAAAAAAGCCACGCCTATAAAAACCAATCAAATATAAGCATTCCCATAATTCCAATGGCACAAACCTAGTGGTACTGCTCACACTCTATTCCCAGAGTTGTTAGCATCATTTTTAGCAAGCATTCCCTCCCGTGCCAGCTCCCTTTACTAGGAAGTTATCTTGAGAGCTATTTCACTCATGAATGAACGTCCCTAAAATAAAAGACCATCCTGCCAGACATGTCAAGAGAGCTAAAGAAAATTCTCGACTAGAATTTCCGTAAGAGGGTCTCCTTTTCTTAAATCATCTTAAGCGACCTTTTTTTCTTTTCTCTAAATAAAAATAATAACTAACCTGCTCTTTGACATAGGATCGCATTTGTAAGAGTCGTTACAGCTTCTGAGACTGTAAAGAGAAAGAAAGGAGCAAAATGTATGCTGTGTTCTATGAATCCGAGGGCACTTTCTCAATGCAACAGGAACATTTGCATTTACTCATAAATGAATACTAATGACGTAGCGGGTCTGGCTCGGCTCCACAGAAATCGCACGCGGAAAGCTAGAGCAGGGCATGGATGCTGCTATTTCTCCAAAGTATCCAGACAAAGAGCAAGATGAGTAAAGTCAGCATCAATTCTCTGAGGTTGAGTCACGGCTCCGGGAGGTGGTGGGTTAAGAATAGTGGGCGATTTTAGGGTGAAAGCAGCGAAGTTGGCCGGTTAACGTGTCTCGGAGGATTTTTGAGTCAACCGCTCTTTGTTGACCACCTACTTTGGGCAAGACGCTGCTTCCCCCCAAGTAAGCCCCTGATCTTGCAGTTCTTTTTACACAGTGTAGGAGGAAGCATCCTGCCTCTACCGAAAATCCTTCCTTGTTATTTAAAATAACATCCAGCTTAGCTTTGCATATGCCTGTGTGCTCAGGCGCTCAACAAATACTTTTTGAATGAGTGAAAATTCAGTGAGTAAGAAGGTTATTCATTCAAAAACATCTGTGTACGCCAGCGAAAAAGGAAGGACAATGATGAAAGCATAATCAAAACACTGGAAGGAGCACCTCCTCACAAAGATGCCGAAAAGGGAGCAACTTCCAGTATTAACATGGAAGCATCAGGTCTGGCTTCACCTAGAAACCACCATCCTAGCGCCTCGGTGCAACTGCGTTAAATACTAGGCTCACCATCTCCCCCGTAACTTGACGTAGCACCTATCTGAAAAAAAAAAAGGGTTAAGGAGTATTTTTTTCATTTCTCCTTTTAAGAGCTCCGTTCGGAGAAATCGCTAAGGGCAACTTTAAAAAAAAAAAAATCTGCTACATCATCGATATCAATAAAATGTCATACCTTAAAATACCTTTCACAAATAGTCCCGATATCCAAATTTGTGATCTCCTTCCTTACCTCCACTTCAACTTTTTCTTGGAACAGAAACCGAAGACACTGGAGATAAATGGAAACGGCCACATTTGTCTAAAAAGCCCTGGAATATGTCAAAACTACTGAGCAAAAGCTTGCAGAAGCGCCGCGCCGGCAGCACTTCCAGCAAACCTGCTTGGAAAGGGGCGTCTTTGGAGCTAGATGGACCCCCCACTGCCGCCCACCCCCTGGCCCTGTTTGCTATTTATCAGGCCAAGTTTACATAAATCAGGGAAGAGTTACAGTGCGATTAAATGCATCCACCAAGTAATAGGATACAAAGCACTTTGCAAATATTAAACCTCCCCTGAAGGGATCAACGTTTCCCAAGAAGAAGGTGGTTCTGCGATGGACGGAGGGGGAGGCGGGGGGAGGCCCGGGCCGCCGCTGTCCCGCGCGGGCGCCCTCCGGCCCCCGGGAGCCAAGCCGCGAGCGGAGCCAGCCAGGCGCGGGGCCCGGGCGGCGCGGGGGCTTGCTCGCGGGTACCTGAGCCCAGGTAGGGGCGTCCGGGCCGAGTCGGCGCTCGCTCGGGGCAGCGGCGCGGCGACCCCGAGACCTCCTGGCCTCTGCGCCCGCGACCGCATCCGTGTCGGGGTGTGCGCGCGTGTGGCGGGGGCTGGGGCCGCCAGGGAGGGATAGGGCCCGGGGAAGGGATGGGGTCCGGGGGAGGGATGTGGTCCGGGGGAGGGATGGGGTCCGGGGGGAGGGATGGGGTCCGGCGTGAGGGATGGGGTCCCGGGGGAGGGATGGGGTCCGGGGGAGGGATGGGGTCCCGGGAGAGGGATGGGGTCCGGAGGAGGGATGTGGTCCGGGGGAGGGATGGGGTCCGGCGGGAGGGATGGGGTCCCGGGGGAGGGATGGGGTCCGGGGGAGGGATGGGGCCCGGGGGAGGGATGGGGTCCCGGGAGAGGGATGGGGTCCGGAGGAGGGATGTGGTCCCGGGGGAGGGATGGGGTCCGGGGGAGGGATGGGGCCCGGGGGAGGGATGGGATGGGGCTCCGAGGGATGGGATGGGGTCCGGAGGGAGGGATGGAGTCGCCAGGGAGGGATGGGGTCCGGAGGGAGGGATGGGGCCGCCAGGGAGGGATGGGATGGGGTCCGGAGGGAGGGATGGGGTCCGGAGGGAGGGATGGGGTCCGGAGGGATGGGATGGGGCCGCCAGGGAGGGATGCGATGGGGTCCGCAGGGAGGGATGGAGCCCCGAGGGAGGGATGGAGCCCCGAGGGATGGAATGGGGCCGCCAGGGATGGGGTGGGGCCCCAAGGGATGGGGCCACCAGGTAGGAGGGATGGGGTCCTGAGGGATGGGATGGGGTCGCCAGGGAGGGATGGGGACCCCAGGGATGGGATGGGGCCGCCAGGTAGGAATGAGGTCGCGAGGGATGGGGCGCCCCCGGCCCGCAAGTTCACGGGCCCGCAGTCCTCCTGCGGCCGCGGCGCCCAGCCCCCAGCCCCCGACCCCCAGCCCCCGACCCCCGGACCCCGAGTCCCCGAGTCCCCGGCCCCCAGCGCCCGGCCCGGGCAGCCGGGGCGCGACCCCCAACTCTGCGGAGCGCGGCCAGCGCCGGCCCCGAGGTGTCGGCCTCCGCGAAGCCCCGGGCGCAGCGCCCCGACGACCGCCCTCCTCCGCGCCCCGCAGCACTCGAACCCCGCGCCCGGGGGCCGCCTGGGGGAGCCGGCGCGGCGCGGAGGAGGGCGCCCCCGAGCCCCGGGCCCCCTCCCGGCGCGTGCAGGGCCGCGCGGCCGCTCACCTGGGTCCCCGGCGCGGCTCCCGCAGTCCCGGCGGCACTTGGTCCCGTAGTTTCGGAAGCCGCGGCGCGGGCTCCGGAGGGCGGGGGCGGGGCGGGGCGGGGCGGGGAGGGCGGGCGGGGCGGAGCGGCGGCGCGGGGCGGCGCGGGGGGGGCGGGGCGGGGGGCTCAGGGCGCGCGTCGCGCGGGGGCCGGGGCCGGGGCCGGGGCGGGGGCGGGGGCGGGGGCGGGGGCGGGCGGCGGGGGCTGCCGGGGCTGCAGGGCGCGCTCCCGCGGCGCAGGCTCGCCCAGGCCCGGGGCCGCCGTGCGGGGGGCGGCGCGCATCCTCCCGGGCCCGCGGCGCCGAGGGCCTCCGGGCAGCAGCGCTCCGGGCCGCGGGGTCCCCCTCCCGGCGGCGGTCCCGGCCCGAGCCCGGCTGCGGGCGCGCGCGTCTGGGCGAACCCGGCCCCGCCGGCTGCGGACTGGCTGCGGCCCCCCCGCCCCTCCCCGCCCCGCCCCTCCCCGCCCCTCCGCGCCCCGCCCCGGCTCCTCCCCGGCTCCTCCCCCGCCGGGCGCGCCCGGCTCCCAGAGGCGGGCGGCAGCCGCAGCGCGGGCGGGGAGGTGCGGGGGGCGGCGGGGGGTCCCCCCCGGAGGGCGCAGCGCGGGGACCCCGCGGGAGCCCGGGGGCGGGGGGCGGGGCGCACAGGTGCGCGGGGCGCGGCGCGCGGGGGGGCGGGGCGGGGCGGGGAGCGGGGGGGGGGCGGCCTGCTGTGCGCGTCCCGAGGCGCAGGGGGCGATCACCGCCCGCCAGGCCGCCCGCCCGCCCGCCCGCGCCGACGCCCCGCCCGCGCGCAGCCCAACCCGCAGCCCCGCCGCGGCCGCCGAGGCCCGGGAGGCGCAGGTGCAGCTCCCCCCCCCTCCCCCCTCCCCGGCCCGGGACCCCGCGCGCCCCGCGGCTGCCCAGCGGCTCCCACGCCCACCCAGGCGGAAGGCCCCGGAAAACTAACGCCCCCCCTGATTGATGAACTTTCTTCTCTCCGGAGTTTCCTTGGAAATAATAATAATGATGATAATAATAATAACAAATAATAAATGATGATGATGATGATGATGATGAGCAACGCCCCCCCCCCACTGGGCTGTTGCTAACTCAGGTGCAGATGCAGCACACGGACAAGTCTGGGCCGCGCATCCCACGTCACGGCCCCTGCGGCCTGTCTGCATCCCAGGGACAGTCACAGCTGCCCATCGGGTCCCCCTGGGGCCGCAGAGGAGGCTCCGCGTAACGAGATGGGTGACGAGGGCGGAGATGCTCCCTCCGGCATCCGTGTCTTCGTATCACGCTGACTCCAGTCGGTCAAGGCAGGCGATGGAGGAGGAAAGGTCGGACGCCAGGGGCTTGGGCGAGGCGCCCTATTTCCAGCTTCGCCTTCCACAGCCGGCCCGGCCCCTTCCCACAGGCCTGCTCTTAGCATCACTTTGGAAGCTCCTGCGCTCGGATCCCAGACTGCACTTCATGCAGACTTCCAGGGCCCAGCCTGAAGGACAAAGCCGCCGAGCTCTAGAAAGGGATGACTCGCGTGTCAGGAAAAACTTATTCACCGACTACTCGGACAAAATGATAAGCTCAGCAGCCACGACAGAACGTGTGTTGTCTGATATTATTTGGGCAGGAGGGAGAATGGCTGTTTGCCAGGTGTGTGATCCATTAACCTCTTTAGCTCATTGTTGGCAACAACAGCCTAGGATCGCGTTCTTAAGTTTGAAAGACGAGGGGTTGGTTTTTCTCCCCCCCCTCAAAATCACAATGCCACATGATAGTCTAAAAGAAGCCTCAAACAATAAAAGTAATAAGAAAGGAAGCAGCACAATTGGCTTTTTTCTCCGAACAAATGTTGCTGTTCTGTTTTTCTCCAGGGGGAAAATGCTGATAAGCAATAAAGTCCACAAAGGCCTGACAACAGATTTTTGAAGGACGCCTCCCTTCATCTATGAGTCCTCCCAATTAGTGGACTTTATTTAAAAATGTTTATATTATCTCTCTATGGGTATTTGTTCTTTCTTTGTCTTTTGGTGCCAGGAAGATTACAGAGAAGGACCAGGGGGTGAGAGGACTCTGGCTTCTCAGAATCTGCCTTGCTTCGGGTTTATGTCCCGCAGGAGAGGAGCACTCAGCAGCCGGTGCTTCTCAGCAAGCCGGGCCTCTCCTCGGAGGGTCCTTGGCTCCGTAGCTGATGCCGGGCATGATAGTCAAGTGAGTTGGCCTAGTGTGTGCAAGATCCCGCCTGGGGCTGGGAGCGGCTACAGACCCAGAAACTGAGAAGCAAAGAGCCCCTGGAGAGGGTTTCCACCTTGCCTAAGGTTGGAGGATTCCATCGGGGTGTTTGCACCTTGTTTGTGTGCGGCTCTTCAATCCCCCCCCCCCCGGGGTATCCCAGCCTTCCCGCTTACCGGATGAAGAGTGGGCCGGGCGGGGGGAGTCTAACATACTCACTAGTAACATTTTGGTACCGTGTTGAATTAAAACTAAACGCCAGGCAAAGTAGCACCTCCAAAACAATCTTTTCGAAACCCAGTTTTGAAAACAGTCATAGATTCTGGTTTGGTTTTGTACCGAAGCCAAAGAAAGCACACAGTTAATGAAAACATTTAGTTAGAGTGATCATTTGGTCAAGATTTTTTTTTTTCTTCTGAGCATCACCACACTCTCTTGTCTCGCAGAGACTCAATGTTAAATAGTGTTTGGCTTATAGTTAATTTTATTTTTTTTTAATTTTATTTATTTATTCATAACACAGAAAGAGAGAGAGAGAGAGAGGCAGAGACACAGGCAGACGGAGAAGCAGGCTCCATGCAGGGAACCCGACATAGGACTCGATCCCGGGACTCCAGGATCACACCCTGGGCCAAAGGCAGGCGCTGAACCGCTGAGCCACGCAGGGATCCCCGGCTTATAGTTTAAATGGAGGCCGATCCTTTCAGTTATAGCGTTGAAGTATTTGTCATTGTAGGAAAGAGGGGATAGCCACCTTTTTTTCCCCCCTTTTAACTAGCCAGGTGCTGACATCTAGATAAAGTTGGATGAGCAAATAGTCGTTCAAAGAACCCCTCTATGTACCCACAACCAGAAATGAAAAGATGAATAAGAAGCTCAACCTCAGAGGCTCGTATCTAGGCTATAGATCCATCCTGTTGGCCTGCGGTCCTTCCCTTATATGGAAATGAGTCCCTGAACCTACATCTCCGCACTCTATCTATCACCCTATTTGAGTAAGTCTTGTATGAAAGTTGTGATTTTTGCATTGTGGTTGGAGTCCTGAAGGTGTAAGGCCACACACACGTGATTGCAAGGGAAGCGTTTCTTATGGAAGAAGTAGTCCACAGGGCAGGTGTCACAGGCTATAAAGACGGTAAAGCGGATTTAACCTCCTCTAGGTTTAGACCAGCGCTGACCAACAGAAGTGTGATGCAAGGCAGCATGCGAGCCATACGTGCAATTTCAAATATACGGTAGTTAAACAAGTAAAAAGACACAGGTGAAATTAATTTCAATAATATATCTTATTTAAGCTTAAAGATCTAAAATATCACAATTTCAACATAAGAGAAATATTAAAAAGTGTTAATGAAATATTTTCCCATTTTTTTTCCTGCATTTTAATAGAATGGCTCCCAGGCCTTAATCCCTGAAACCTGCGAATATGTGACATTAACATAGCAAAAGGGACTTTGCAAAGGTAATTAAGTTTACAGATTTTAAAATAGGGAGATTATCCAGGCTTGCTGCAGTGGATCCAATCACAGGAGTTCTGAAAAGCAAGAAAAGATGTGAAAAGGAAGTCAGATTGTAAAGCACGAGAAGGATTCAACATGCTGTGGCTGGTTTAAGGATGGAGGGGCTAACGGGACAACGGATGGGGGTGGCCTTCGGGAGATGGAAGGGGCTCCTTTCTGCCAGCCAGGAAGGGAATGAGACCCCCACCCCCCTCGCCCCCACCAACAACTGTAAGGGACAACCTGAATGAATTTGGCCGACAAGCGGAATGATCCTGGAAGCAGATCCACCTCCAGAGAAGAATACAGGCCTACGGAGGCTTTGCTCTGGGCCTCGTGAGGCTCTAAGCAGAGGGTTCGGCTAAGCCACAGCACACCACAACTGCTGGGCTACAGAAATGTGAGCTAACAAAGGAGTGTTTAATGCCACTTGGTTTACGGTGATTTTTTAAAGCAGCAATGGAAAACTCATACACGTATTGAACCTCGAAATCTAGTATGTATTTAACACTTACAGCCCATCTCAGTTTGGTTCAGGTGTTCAGGAGCCCAGGAGGGTGAATGGCTACCATATTGGACGGTACAAGTTCAGACCAAGAGAAATCAAGATATCTTGGAAGTGCTAGGTCTGTAGGCTAAAGATAATGTCGCCCTGTGGAGGAAGAAGAGGAGCAAGGAAGGGAGAAGTGTGCGGGTTCTCTCCCGAGTCCCTGCCCGCGTCCCATGGGAATGAGGTATTCTTGCTCTTGCAGAAAACAGGCTAACTTTCACAAGTCATATTGTCAAAATTCATTAAATTTACTTTATTAACTGGACTATTCATAAAGTCTTTTTTTTTTTGAATATTCCATCTTTGTCTCAGTTCCATTTTGGAGCAATTAAGAGGAGTTGTTGCTTTCATGTGAGTCTATGCTTAAGGTAGAGCATTAGTCATTTAACTCTAGTAGTGTGGGGTGGGGAATGGCAGGCAAGAGTAACTGTGAAAGATCTCCGGGAGAAGAATTTGTGGATTGATTTAGATTCCTAGGAAGGTTGTTCCTCCTTAACGGGAACTTGCTTTCCGATACCACCCTTCTGAGGCCTCCATTTTGTGTTTATCGAGAAGGAACGCATTTTTCCAATTCTAATTGCATCCCATGTTTAGTCTTCTAAAATCATCTTTTGCCATCTTCACTAATAAGTAAGAATTTAAATCTTACCCTATAGAAAACCTAGAGCAGAAACTAACCAATGTAATCTGGGACCATTCTAGGAAAGTTTTAACCAGGAAATATAGACCTGGACTGGTTTAAAGAAAAAAAAAGAAGAAGAAGAAGAAGAAGAAGAAGAAGAAGAAGAAGAAGAAG